TCTTGCTATTTAGCCCGCCTGCTAAGCTCCTGCTGGATGGAAACTCCCAAATTGACATGGAAAAAAAGGTTTGCCGGTCTGGCACAATTAGGGACGGAACAAACAATATGTCTTTTGATGAGTAAAGACAAAGCTAACAGGATGGACTGCATGCTACACTACAGAAAAGGGTTTTGAGCTGTTGTTGAAGCTTGGACTAGCTTTATTTCACTAAGGGTTTAAACACTGATATAGTCATACTTGGTAATGTTTTATTCATGGATTTGCATTGTGAATTGGTCTGAAAACATTCCAATTTCTCTATTAGTTAAATGCTAATTTGATCATATCCAAAATTCTTCAAGATAAACTTTGGTTTTCAAACTCAAAATCCATCTTAAACTGTAATATGTTTTTCAACCATGTTCCCCTTCCTTTTTGCACATATTAATTTAGTTTAGTTTAGTTTCACTAGTCTTAGTTAAGAGTTTAAACTGGAATATGTTTGACTTGGAGCTGAATGATTTTTGTTAATAAACTTATATTTTGAACAGAACTTGTGGTGAATTTATTCAATTTATGCGTAGAATTAACTGTTTGACCATGATTACAGCTCGAATCACTCTTTCATTTATTGTTCTAACACGCAGCTAGTAGGGTGTGTGTTCATAAACAATATACAACAGCCAAAATAATATCTGAATAAATAAGATATTTATCACCCGTACCGGGGAGGGTAATCAACATCTTAAAGTATCAGAAATATAAATTCCCAGCTGGTTGGGAATTGAATAGAATATAAATCTACAACATTAATATGGCATCCAACCTGGATGGGCATTGGACATAAAATCACAACAGCAGCATCACAAGCACTAATCCACTGGGGGCATTGAAGCCTAAAAATTCTCTCGGTGAAACTAATGTTGCATCCACAAATTGTCCATACAGCCCCATCAGACCAAATGACGAGCTTCTGAGTAACTTCAGTCCACATCTGAAAAACTGAACATCCACGATAAAATGGACATTGATTGTTATTCTTAATAACTGGCTTGAGAAAACAACACAGCCTCAGTGGTACAATTTGTTCAATTGGACTTAAAGTTGCATGTTGGAAAAAAAAGGTTAAGTTATGAAAGGTTATCAGCTCTACTGTCAAAGATCTGTTGTCAGTATTAGAAATTGAACTTTTATTTAAAGCAAATGTTAAACTCTTAAAGGCAGTATTGTATGCTGTTGCTATAGTTTTTACCATATTCAAAGGAAGAGTTGTGCTATAATGAATGTCCATGTACTGTTCACACTTCCTAAGAAGGAGCTTTTCAAAGAGGTTGCATTTATAGCAACTGACTGCAGACCCTTTAATTAACTTGATTAAAAATCTTTGATAGAGTCCCACCACTAGTTTATACCTAATCAGTCTGGAAGTCATAGTATTCATTTTGTACTGTGCCTTGAGCTGACACATTAGTTAATTCAATTCAGGTTATTTCTATAGCGCCAATTCACAACACATGTCCTCTCAAAGCACTTTACAGTTCAACAGGTCATACAGTCAAATTGATTCTAAGTTTTCTATCTAAGGAAAACCAGTTGATTGCATCGAGTTAGCACTGTATACATAAGACCAGGAAAAACACTAATACAAAGTGAATCCAGTAGAACTTTTTATTTTCTACCTGGAATGGGTGACAATAGTTGAAGAAACTTTTGGCTCTTTAAAATGGTATCAGTGCCCTATCTGTTGGTACTCGCCGATACTGATACCACCATTTTAGTGCTGGATCGGGGCCCTGCCCGATGCTGGTATCAGTATCAGCGCAACACTAAATTAAAGTGGGCTAAAATATATTAAATTAATCTTATTTTGGTCAACCAAATAGAATCCACCGAAAATACATACCTAGAAAAAAAAAGTTTAAAATGCATACTTTCTTGGTAAGGCAGTGGAAAAATGTGAAGATATTCAAGGGGTATGAAAACTTCTGCAAGACATTAAACATGTAGATCTCTAAGATGTGTAGTTAAAATGACTTAAACACTTTTAAGATATCAGAGTCTGACAAACAGTTTGACAGTTGCAGAATCAAATCCCCCTGTTTTTTTGTTTTGTTTTTTTTTTGTAGTTTTTTTGTAGTTTTTTTTTTGCAGCAAAGCGACAGACAGCTGACAAAACAACTTGGTACACTAGCTTCTGGAGCTCTCTCCCTAGCTGACACCTGCCCACTTGCTGTGTGTCCTTTGCTTATCTATCAGTACCTCTAAGGTAAACAACAGAATCTCCTGAGAGAGGATACCAGGAGGCTCTGAATATAAAATGAAGAGGGAAAGGCAGCAGGGCAGCCATATGACCTCAGCTTTATCATAGCAAACATTGTTCTTAACCCCTTTAACCATTCATTAAATTGCATCTTTAAATCAGCCACCGTTTTTTGTGACATTTCCATAAAAACATAACATCTTCACTGAAGTAAACCACCAAACATGAAAACAAATAAAGTCTTGTCTTAAATAGAAGGAAACAAAAGGAAAGTCTTTTCTGAAATAACATCCAAACATCTGCAGAGCCCAGGCAGCAATTTGGTCTAGAACAATTTGTGCTGCAGTTTTAACTTTGATTACTTTCGCAGCAGGGTTGTCAGTTTCCTGTTTCTGCTGCTGCTGTGTATTTGGAAGAGACATTGCACATTATTTCATCAGGTAAATGCAAACAGGAGCCAAAGGACTTACAGCTTCCAAACTTGAGAGGGCAGGCATGTCCGTCCATTGGGAAATCCACCAGCTTCATGGGACACTCAGCAATAATGGTCAACCTGAGGCAGGACAGAGAGGGATTTAGGAGCAGCCTAAATATTACTGTTACTAATTTATCAACAATAAAAAAAAGTCCCTATAATGACAAAAAAAAATAAAAATAGGTCTGGTGTTGGTGAAAAATGTGCCTAATCCATAAGGGCAGATTTATTCAGTCTATAGATAAATCAATAGATTTAAATTACAAATCTCTTCAACAGTCGGAAAGTTTGCCTCTTTATGAGTATCTGTCTTTGATTTAATAAATGCACCCAATCTGAATCCTTAAAGCTGATTTTTTTTAGCATGGAATTTGTCTTTTTAACAAGATTTACAGTGTTGATGACTTCCTTTTTTAATCTTATACTAATCTCTGGTTGCCTTTGGGGATGTTACATTCATATATCACGCTTGTAGAAAAGAGCTTATGAAGGTCTCTTAAAAAAATTAAAAATAAATGATGATGACATTAAAGGTCCCACATTGTGCGATATTTGAATATAAAAAATATTAACATTGCCCTTCAGAGCACGTTTTTGCTATTTGTACAGGAAAACTTATTTTGGATTAGGCAGATTGTCTTTATCAACAAGCTCTTCTTTAAGTCCTCTTCTAAATGAGCTGTCTTGGCTTTCCATTACCCGTCCTCACAAAGGCCACGCCCCTACAACCTGCAGCCATGACAACCAGTCAGAGTTCCTAAAGATAGCCTAGGAGCATGGCATATTAGAAATCATTCCCCTTATGACATCATAAGGGGAATGATTTTCAAACAGACCATTTAGAGAACACATTAGCTAAAATGAAGAGAAAGGCAATGCTAGAGATGAAAGTTTTCTTTTTCATAAGTGAACCTCATACACAGGCTTCAGTACATGACTGTTATAACATGACTGTTATAAAAAAAGTTTATAATTAGAATTTTTCATAATAGGGGACCTTTAAAGCTAACAGAGCTCTGGTATTGAAAAAATAATAGGATCTGCAGAGATCCAAATTCCAGTATTAAAAACCAGATCAGAAGTGATCCAGAATTTTAAGGCAGATACTTTTGCAGGTCAGCTGTAACACAGTGAAATGAAATTATATACTTTTTAAAAATGTACCCAAGTGCAGCATATACAAAGACAAGAGTAAGGGTTGAAAAATAGGACCCTGCACAACTGAATGATACAACATCACAAGTATAGGGACCAATGTAGCATATCTGTAAAAACTGTATACTATATTTTAAATTAATGCAAATGGATCATAACAAATAAGGTCAATAGGCTAGTTCTCAGAAGATAGATACGACTCATGAAACAGCAGACAGAGGCTAGAAGTTTGCAGTTGCGAGTGCTTTGTATTTATAGTGAGGAAAATTTTATACATATTTACAACATCAGTGAAACATCCAAATGGCCATATAAAATGCGCAAAAGAAAAAAAAAACAATAAAGAGGAAAAAGAAAAACAAAATTAATCAATTCCACAATTAATGAAACCAAATCCCCTCAGTCCATTCACCCCAAGCTGAGGTTGATTAAAGGTGCCAAGCAAATTCCTTCTAAAGTGCTTGGTGCAGTGCAGGACATGGACTGACAAAATTGTTCGTTGGCTGCAAGGAGCCTCCTACCAGCCTGGCAGGAGATCCAAAGTCTTTGTGCACCCAAAGTGCAATCTTTGTTGGGCTCTAGGCCTGGACCTTCAGCTCGCCATCAACACCTGGCCAATTCCATAGTTTGTATGTTACACAAACAGTTTTTTTCATGTCATCTTGGCTAAGTAGTTAGCTCCTGCAGCTCTGCTTCTCCCAACATGCCATAGTCTTTCATACTTCCCCACTCCAACTAACATACCTAACTGATAGGCTGTTGCACATGTACCCCTGATACTCAACAGCAATTGGCTGTGTAGCAATGAGGGGATGGAAGTGAAAAAAACATACACAGAATGATCACTGGGATCTTTCTCCATTATCTAAACATGTAAATGGAAAATCACTGGGATTTACTCCCGGGTTACACCAAGGTGCAAAGAAAGAGACCAACTTTCCAGATATTATTTGCACAAAGCAAATAAGAGGCATGCACTTCTGGTGCACTCTTAATCTAATCTGATCTAAATAATAAGTGAGATTTTCTTAAAATTAGTGTATTTTCTCTTAAATTGTACAAGTGTAAAAAAGATGATCTGCCAATTTAATTCATATGTTTGGCCTTGAAATAAGATACCTAGATATTATGCACTTAAAATAAGATATTTTAATCCTTTTTCTTATGTTAAATGTAAATCATCTTATTCTTTTGGCAAATTGCCTTACATACATCCTGAATCCCATGGAAGCTGATGGTCCAAATGTTGAATTTCCAGTGTACAGAACTAAAGGAAGCTTTGAGCGTTTTTAGTCCCCATAGGCATACTTCCCCCTGCTTTAAAACTTAGGCATCTGTATTGCGTCTAAAAAGCATTATGCTGTTTACTCTGAGGATCTTAGATGGGTTTCATGGTAAATCCCTTTTATTACGTTATAACAAACACAGCCTATCCCCTCTCCTGTTCTAGATAAAAACGCTGAAATGTGAAAATCTACAGTATGTGAAGTTTTTGTGATGTAATCACAGGCCAAATTAGGTGAAAGCAAAAAAAAAGTGCAAAACAGCAGTTTTTAGGATGGTGAAACAGTTAAAAGTTTATGTAGAAGGCAGTAGGTACCTCATGGTGTAAAGAATGGTCCCGTTCTTCATAATGCGGAAGAGCTTGTTGGGGGCTGTCATGTTGTGGGCAACTGACCTCTTCCCATTCCTGAAAAACGTGTCCGGTGTCCAGACCTTGGTCACCATCAGGTTGTTAAGTCTCAGTATCTCTATTGGGCCCTCGTACATCAATCTCCGATCTACCCACGTCTGCCGAAAGAATACATCCATGGTGTATTCCTGATGGAGAGAAATGTAACAGATTGCTACATACATGGAAACAAGCAGCATAAGATGTATTAATGATGAAAATCATGTTTTTGACAAAATATTATGATTTCATTTTGTTTTCTTTTTTTTAATTAATCATAATTACAGCAGTCCTGGCAGGGGATCTGAATTTTCCAGTGAAGATACACTTCTCAACTTCTAACTAGGCTTTTCTCTGCTCTAATAATCCAACATTATGTTCCAGTTACCCAACTTTTGGTTTTTATCTGGCAAATCTCTGTTTGAATGATCTAACGCTATGCTCCAATATCATAACAATCCCTTCTAATCTTGTTATGATCTGTATTAATCATCCAACACTCTGTTCTAGTCACACAAAGTGATGTTTTAACCATTGAAATGCTCTTTTCTTACCACCCAGCTTTCCTTTATGATCTGAAAACTCAATTTAAATCATACAAGGCCGCATTCAAATCTGACAACCCTATGTTCTAATCTGGCACCTCTCTGTTCTAATCTAGCAATGACCCGTCGCAATCGTCCAACACTGCTCAGATATCATAACAGTCCCCTTTAATCTGGCAAAGATGTGTACTAATTATCCGACACTGAGGTTTAGTCATTTAACGTTCTGTGATAATCTGGAAAACGCTCTATTCTTTTGATCCAGTCTTCTGTTCCATTCTGACAACTCTCTGTTCTAATCTGGCAATGCTCTGTTCTTATAATCCAACATTCAGTTCTAATCTAGCAGTTGTGCATTTTAATCATTCATGCCAGCGTTCCAATCTGACAACGTTATGTTCTAATATGGCACCTCTCCATTCTAATGTGGGACCTCTCCATTCTAGTCTGGCAATGATACATTCTAATCATCACATTGCGCTGATATCATGAAAATCTGTTATAATGTGGGAATAATCTGTACTAATCATCCAACACTGTTCTATTGTGACAATGGTTTGTTTAAATCGGGTGGCATTGTGTTATAACTGCAATGCTCAAGGTAATAAAACAATGTTCCTTTTTAATCTTGCACTGTTCTAATATTGTAACAATCCCCTTTAATCTGACAAACATGTATACTAATCATCCGACAGTGAGTTTTAGTCATTTAACATTCAGTGCTAATCTGGAAACGGTCTGTTCGTTTCATCCAGTGTTCCGTTTCATTCTGACAACTCTCTGTTCTAATCTGGCAATCTAGCAATAATCTGTACTAATCATCCAACACATGGTTCTAGTGATACAGCGTTTTTTTAATCTGCAAAGCTTTGATCTTATCATTTGACGTTCCATTCTGACAGCTCTCCTTTTTAATCTGGCATCTTCACCTTCTAATCATCCATCACTGTTTTAATATTATAACAATCTGTTGTAATCGGGTAATGATCTTAACTAATCATCCAACACTTTGCTCTAGTCATACAGTGTTCTGTTCTAATCAGGGAATCCTCTGTTTTTATCATCCAACTTTCCATTCTAATCTTGCAGCTCCATATTTCACTCATGCAAGCCTGTGCTCCAATCTTACAACTCTCTGTTCTAATCTGGCACCTCTACTTTTTAATCTGGCAATGATCTGTACTAGTCATTCAACACTCTGTACTATCCATACAATATTCTGTTCTAATCCTGAAATGGTCATTCCTTGTCATCCATCATTCTGTTCTATTCTGGCAATTCTCCTCTTAAATCATCCAAGGCAGCGTTCCAATCTTAGAACTCTCCGTTCTAATCTGGCAATGATTTGCAACAATTATCAAACATTTCATTCCAGTCATAACAATATTCTGTTCTGATGTAATAACCCTCTTTTCTAATAATTCAACACTTTGTCCTATTCTGGCAATGCTTGATCTAATCTAACAATGCTACATTCTCAATGCAAAAGCTGATCTGAATAAGCATATTTGCCCTTCCAAAAAAATAAAATTAAAGACAATCCACTGGACTTTGTTTCCAAGTTTGATGACGTTTCGCTTTCCATCCAGGAAGCTTTTTCAATTCAAAATGTCAGGAATAGCGTTGAGTTCGAGGTTTTATACAGTAGCCAAACGAAGCCTTGTCTTCGTTTTGAGAAACAGCTGTTGGAGATTCTCAGTCATCCATGTCATAGTCATTCCGTAAAAATTCAAAAAAATATCCACTGGACTTGGTTTATAAGATTTGAAGACGTTTCGCTTCCTCTCCAGGAAGCTTTCTCAATTCAAATGTCTGGATCCGCAGTGAGTTTGAGTCTTATATAGACAAAGCCTTGTATCGCTTGGAAACATGCAAATGGTAACCGATGAATGGGTCGTTTGGTTCCATCGTTAGCCTGTAATATCTGAAACCTGTCTATGATTCTGAGGGTCGGTCGTTAAAGGGGAGGGGGGTTGCCGTTAAGGGGGGGGGATTGTCTCAGGAGACAATTCCCCCCTTAACAGCGAAACGTCCTCAAATCTTGGAAACCAAGTCCAGTGGATATTTTTTTGAATTTTGAAAACAGGCAAACTGAAATGGACGAAGGGGTCCACCCCTTTGGAATGGAGGTTGTTTGGCTTATTTTGTTAGCCTGCAATGCTCCATACCCATCTAAAGGCTGATTTATAGTTCAAAACTAGGTTGTCTGTGTAAGTGTCTCAGTGAACAAAAAGACGTCCCTGCCCACTCCGCAGACACTCTGCTGCACCTCTCCCAAATTGTAGGTGCCGCAGACAGGAGGCCGGCTTGTTTTGTTTGTATGACCGCAATTGTGGAAAACAACTCGTGAAGTTGGACCAGCTTGAAGGGCGAGGTGCGCAAGCACACTGGGACCCTTTTTCCACCTGGATCCCTCTCTTTTGGCCCTCATGTCCCTCCGTTGTCAGACAAACTTGTCCCCACTTCCTCGACATCTTGGCCGTATCTAGACCCACAGCGAATAGTGCAGACCACGCTCAAAATTGAGCATAAATCAAAAATGTCTTCATCAAGCTCACTGCGACACACTGCTGCAGGAGTATAACCAGCCTTTAAGTGTCTTAAAGGGGCATCCTTAAAGGGAATTGTTGGCCTGGCTGAATAGGCGAGGTCCTCGAGGACAACCGAAGACCTCGCCTATTATTATTTTTGACCTGGAATCGAGAATCGTCATCAGCATATTTGCCCTTAATCTGAGCACGTAAAAATGATGATCTGACCAATCGATTAGCACCTTTGGGCTTTTTCATTACTTTATACTTAAACCGTCTTATTATATTGACAAATTGTCTTACTCATTGACTCAAAATACAAAAATGTAAAATCTTTTTTGCAGTGTATTGATATTGCACTAATGAAAAATGAGTGATAAATGCTGCAGTGTAACCTAACAGCAGTTGTTGTGGAGGTAGAATCAAAGTTAAACATGATGAGAGCAATGGGTAACAAGTGCTTAGCTACGTACCATTTCCACATCTGAGACCGGCCCAAAACTTGTGACATAAATGTCAGTCTTCACCTCCGTCACAGGACCTGTCGATTAAACAGAAAGCAGAAATTCAATTCATTGACATTTTCCAATTGAAATTCTGCTGATCTACAATCCATTTTAATAAAATATTTTTTGAAAAATATTCTTTACAGGAGCTCTGTAGTGCTCTGCATAATGCAATGGGGAAAATAACTTAAAAGATGTGAAAACATAATCTGCTTGATCCCCCCCTCCCATTGAACAGATGTGGAGTAACAGTGTGGAGACAAGCTTTAAGTGCACGTCTGCATACAGGCATTCCTGTTGACAGGCTGCTTTTGCACAGTAAACCAGTTCTCCCTGCTTTCTAACATGAATATTCAATAGACATCATGCATGAAGACCAAATCCATACTTCTAACTCTTCAACCGAGCATTATGCATTTGTCCTGAAACATACAGGGGATTATATAACTAACCCTGACTCAAATGCACATAGAATGAAGGCCCTTCAACATCACAGTGAGGAGGGAAACACATTTCAGCATCCACTGCCTTGTGTATTTATAAGGTAACAGGTTACCTGCATGCATCACAGAACAGCAAACATGCCTTTACAAATCCTGAAAGCATTTCCACAGCTCATTTACTTCTGATGGTCTTTAAATTTAATAAACTGTACTGAATTGTTTGAGTTCTTGCTTACTGTCCTTTAGGCTTCATTTGAAACTTTTTTTAGCCCTCAGCAGGTAAAGCCGGTTTGCTTAAATGTCCACAAACCCATTCTTCTTAGTCAAATCCCTCCTACAGCATTTCCCTCTAAAGTATTTATTTTCCCATGCAGCGAAAGTGTTAAAGATGGCCTTTTCTGTAAGATTCTAGAGACTGAGAGTAAACGGTAGATTTCAAGGCTTGTCATGGATTCTCTACATGATTCTAACACACGCTCCATCGATCTGTGCTCAAGAAAAAAATCCCTACATCATGCTGATGCCACCACCAAGTTTCCCCTTGGGGGTGGTGATTCAGAATGATGTTCATTGTCGGTTTTCTGACACTGAAGCCATTTTGCATTAATAATTAACTCCTCTGTCCATGTTGTAAAAAAACTGCAATGTAGTTTTTTTCTTGCAGCTCCTTCTGAAAAAATATGTGGATTCCAGACAAACCATCTTGGGCAGATGGGCCCCTATGATGGTGTAATTATGTCATTGATTGCTTTCCAGAGGGTCTCTGTACTCATCTGTATACTTTAGGGTTTTAATTTCAGATAAACTTCAAATCTATTTACTGCACGCTTACCTTACTTTTGGGCATCCTTGTTCATCCATGCATGCTTTTTTACAGTACCACTCAGTGTGGAAATTAAGCTACCTTTACTGTTTTAAAAATAGTTTGGTTGGAGAAACTTTGCAATCTCTTTTTGCCTCTTGGCCTTTAGGAGTACAATTTAGTTATGACAGCTTTATAAATGCACCAGTTGTGCACATATAAACTTTTGTAATTGGAAAGTATGCCCTGCAGTCATATTTGTAATTCTATAAGTTTTTGTGCTTGTGTCTGTGCTTTATGTAGATGGCAAGTGCCACATAAATGTGTGAACTTATGATTAACGCTTTACTCTCCTTAGTCTGAAAAAACTTCCTGTTTTTTTGTGTGTGAGTCAGATTTCCCTACTTTAAATATGAAGGGCAGGATTGCCCCTTAAAACCCTGAATTCAGCACTAAATGTGACAGCCAATCATCAGAGGGGGCTGTATAGCAATGAACTAGGGCATATCCTCCTTTTGAGAACATGTTTAGCTTAATTTGAGTTATATAAAAAAAAAAATGTTCAGGTCAATATTCAGCATTTGCTGCATAGCGATGCTCCATGCAGGCAGCCCCTCTCAACAACTCTCGTCTGTAACTTTACACTGAAAAAAATTATGCATCCGCTTTTGGCATTTTGGCTTAATCATATTTAGTTACTTTAACACAATTGTTTTTTTCCTAAGCTACTAACATCAAAACATTTTCTTAAAGTAACTAACTACAATTAAGTAAATGACAAAAAGTATTGCATTATTTGTTTCAGTGTAGATGGTCAGTGTAGGTACCAGATCTGCTCGGGGGCCCCTTCTTATAACGTCACTATATGGCAACTCCTCTCGGACAAAATGTATTGCACCGGTTTCTTGAAAATCAAATCACTTTTGGAGTCTCAACATATTATTACGTATATATTTGCTATTATTTTGCATTTCAGTGGCGATCTAAAGTAGCTGAAATGGAATGGCTTATTTTTGTTCTTTATATTAAGATCTGAGGACAGGAATGACAAATTGAATTGTTGACACAAAGTAAAAAGTAGTGAAGCTTAATATGGCTGACTGACTGCGCTAAAAGAGGCTAACCTGTTAGCTACTGAGCACAGCTAGCTACAGCACTACCCAGCAGTTACTTTGTTCACCATAAACAGATTTTTTTTCGTTTTTTTTTTTTTTTACAGTACAGTGTGATCACTCCAGAGTATAAGTCACTCCCCTGGCCAAACTATGAAAAAAAACTGCGACTTATGGTCGGCAAAATACGGTAAAGTGCTGTTTAAAAACAACTCAGTTGACAGGATATGATATTTTTTTGGGAGGGGTTGTTTGACATGAACGACCTGCCGGTCAACTTTTTGTTTTTACAATAGATGAAGTTCTGCGGGTAAAAAAGGAATTTCCTCAGGGTTGGGATTAGGATTAATTCAGTGATAACAACCTACTGAGTTAGTAGGAGGCTCAATCTGAAGCCATTCTATGGGACTGATAACCGGTAATGACAAGCATTTAATAGGCTGATAATATCCGAAGCGGCTGGCTACACCTGGAAGTAACAGGTCTGGTAAAGTGCCTTCAGATGACATATTGTGTATCGGCGCTATATAAATAAACTGAATTGAATTGGTGCCCCTAGTCACAAAAAATTACACAGTGTGGCTAACAACTGTTAGCACCACAACAGTACAGAAATGCTCAACCAAAATAATGTCAGGCCTAGTCCACATGAGGGTTTTCCCCCAATTATGCTGTACAAATAGGAGGTGTTTTAGAAATGCTTTTATCCCCACCAACCTACAGAAGTACATCAATAAACATGACTTTAAAAACAGTAAACGCATAGGGAGCAGTGGAGCACAAAACTAAAACTGGTTAGCCAATCAGAACCCTTCAAAAAAAACAAGGTTTACTATTCGGAATGAATCATGGATCAAAATCAAGGATCATGTATCCAAATTTTTGGGATATTATAATTTTTTTTTTTTGATAATTTTTTGGATACAAATGTTTGAAGCATCGTTAAAATCAGAACTTCACTGATAAGTTCATTTTTAACTCCACTGTATGGCCAACTGTATAAACAACAGTCTCACATGTTCATGACATGTCTTGCGCGCTTTAGTAATATATGTCTTTTCATGTATACATGCAGGCGGAAATCCCGCCGAAGTTTTTAGGACCATTCATTTTAAGGGATATATATACATAAGGGGTGGAACAGTTCACAAAATCCACGATTCGGTTCGGTTCACGGTTTCGTGGTCACGGTTTTCAGTTCGGTTCGGTATATGTTGATTGTTAGGAAAATCTACTATGTCTTGTAAAGTACAAATGTATAAACCCTGTGAACGTTTAATTTAATATGACATATTTAAAAAAAATCCCCATCATCATCCAGCAGATGTTCAGTTTCTGCCTAAATATTTTCTTTCTGTTGTGGATTTTTGTAACAGGAAACTAGGATCAAACATAGTTTGTATGAACTATGTTTGTTCTCTGCTTCCAAACTCATCATCTCTTCATAAATTCCTGCAATAAGAATTGTCTTTTAAAGTTATTAGATGTGTTCTAGAATCTCACAACTTCTTCCTGGTCTGTTGAAGCACCAATAGTCTGCATCCAATTATTTAATTAATTGCTCTTAGTTTTTGTATTATATACGAACTATGCTCTAATTTCTAGTTACCGGTCTGTTTTTTTACTATAATTTAATTTGAAAAACCGGGTCCTCTCTACATTCTTTTTCCTGTTTGGTGCGATTGCAATTGCGGGTCTTGATCTGGGCCGACCGGAGCGGAGCAAAAAAGAGCTCAGTTCCATATTTTGACGGTGAAAGACGGAGAAGACATACGAGGACAGATAAGTACCGGAGGATGTGGAACAGCTCTCATTGATTTACAAGACAGAAAAGTACTCCGCACGACGTACGTGAGCGGAGCGGAGCGCTGACGGAGTATGTGGAATCTGGTAGTAAAGGAGGACAAATACACGTCCGGCTGAATGCGGCGCAGGACGCCGGACAGTGCAATGAAAATCCGGACTTTCTGCCCTAAAGCCGGACCTGTGGCCACCCTACTTCCAACTCCTGTTCTTTCCCACGCACCATACCCACACAATTCTCCACAACAACTGATTTTTTTACTGCTACACCCGGCTACGCTGCTTCGCTTCTTCTTCTTGTTTACTACTGGTGGTTGGCTTTGGCAGTGTTGCCAACTCCTCAGTAAGGAAAGTAGCTATTGGCTGTGCTATAAGTCGCT